CTGCAAGCTTTGTCGTCAGTATCTCGTCATACTCCTCACGGATTTTGTCCTCTCGCTCTTTCAGTAGTCTCTCACAAATCATTCCAACCTGCCTGAGGGAAAATAAAGGCTGCTCTTTCCTGGTGGGAGATGAGGCACCGGAAGACGTACCTGTTAGGAGAGTAAATATCACAATTATTATAAGACAGATGACATTAAGCATAGCAAAAGCACTTAAAGTCGGTCAGTCTCATCAAAATATATATTGCACAGCTTTAACACAGAGCAGGTATGGCAGTATATTCAGAGTATATTGCGAATCATTCCTCATCCTGATGTACACTCCTGATTAGAGCATCAGTCCATTTTACTTTTCTCCCACATAGTGGGGTTGATAAAAAATAAATAAATATATAGAAAGTGGTGACTAACGACTATTTAGTGCGATTTATCAGGCATGTAGTCAGTGTGGCCAGCCAATAGTATGCATGTTGTCATCTTAGCCAAGATATTAACCAACCAGTCCTACTAAACATGTTTTCTGATCACTTAAATTATGGTATATAAACTACATTCATAAGGCTTGTGGCTACAGACCCTTGTTCTACATTACATTTTAAATTCAGAGTTCAAACAGCAGGTTGATGGCAGGGTTTTTCCTGCATAGAGAAATTTGTGGCACCGCCCAAAGAGGTTTTAGCGAGTGGCAGAGGAAAATCCACAGCGCCAAAATGATCAGAATGGGGGAAAAAAAAAAACAACCAACCTTTCTAATCCTCTGCGAATGTGTTTTAATAGCCATTTATCAAACAACGTCTTGTCTTCCAGCAGTCAGCTCTCATCTCATCCACAGCCGCTGTATTTTACACATGCAGCAGGCGCTAATAAACCAGCTGCTGCGTTGGTTAAACTGCGCCTGAACGCTCCGTTACTAAACTCGCGCTAATGACTTCCTGTTATTTCTCACAATATTAAAGCCGTTTATGCTTGAATGTGCTGGTGTTCACCGGTACTATCACTTTTACATTTTAGTCTTTGGCGTACCGACACCAGTTCTCTCCTCTGCCCTCTCCAGATCAGGTTCTCTGGGCACTAAGTGACGCTCACCTGTTCCCGTTCTCGACTGCCTGCTAATCTCCGAATACACACCCTGGATGGATTTGTAAAAACTAGTCAATAACCTCATTAAACATGTGCCACTGGTTGCTACGTACCTGGTAGGGCAGATCCACTGTGAACGTTCTGCAGGTCCAGAGGACAGCAGCCATCTGCCTGCTGGAAAGCACTGTCCAGGTGTCGTCGTTTCTGCAGCCTCTTGTACTCCTGTTTGATGTTGTGTAAAATTTGCTCTGGAACAGAGAGAAAAACATTTGCTCCATTATATAAGTGACATCTTCGCATAGAGGTAACGCATTTGTATGCAGAGACAGCTGTTGCAGAATTCCCAAATTTGATAATTTCATGTAGCCTTGCTGAATTCCTCAGATACATCATGACTTTACACAAAGAAAGACACTACAGGCAAGACATTTTGAGCTGTTTTGCTTCCATTACATGTCATCTATCAGACAAGGAAAAAGAACAAACAAACAGATTTTGGTGTTTATTTAACCACACTTTGTTTATTTGCATCTGTAGTTCTAAACTCCTAAACGAAACTCACCAAAAGTTAGCATTAGATAATGCCTCATTAACATCTGGATCAATAACAATAGACACCAATTACTTTTACAGTCTTACTCGGTGTGAATTTGTGTATTTGCAGGTCATGATGCATTACCTCTGGAGAAACACCTTTTAATGACAGACAAAACAAAAAGGTATCTGAATGAAATAATGACCAAGTATCTGCCACTCTTCCTCCAGAGGTGACTGTGAGAAAGCTGATAAAATTGATAACAGCAATATTAAACCTAGTAACTTTTTCTTCCAATGTGAAACTATCACCTCTGGGAATTCCACATGTTATCAGGCTAAAGCAATCACAAAATAAATTACTATAAATTTAATCTGAATGTTTTTTTGCAAAATGTTCAAAAGCAGCACAAAAGGGACAAACAAAAATTACAAGTTTCCAAATAAAACTGCGTTTAAAAACAATGGTTCCCAACCTTTTTGTAACACTTTATAGCCTTCATCACAGTCTGCATATGAGTAGTTCACCTCACTGATCTTTATTTTAAAGAGACAGTATAAAATCATTCTCCAATTCAGTGAGTAAGTTACTGCAAGCAGCACAACATCCATCCATTAATTACACAGCAGCAACACAAAGCTTAGAGAAATTTTATTCCCACACTTTAACGTTACTTCCCCAAACTGTCAGCAGATACTAAAAATATAAAAATAGCCTACATAGTGTATGCCGAATTTACAACGCGGAAACAGAGATTCGGATCAAATCCATAACAATATGCGTTTCTTGAAAGGCAGCATTGACAACGACATTCATTGTTAGTTTGCGTGTGGAGTTTCTGTTTCATCCCCCACAAGGAGGACACCGGTAACTGTTACAGACTGGGAAAATGCAAAATGCTACTGGCGTTAAATGTTAACGTATCCCAATTCACAATGAGGGATGTTTTACCATACTAAACTTGACATAACAGTGAAATATAAAGTATGGATTTAAAAGCCTACCTGCGGTCAGCCTGGACGAAACTTCCCCGAACGGCGAGGGCTCCATTCGCAGATATTTCTGTGGTGAAGAGACCGGAGACATGATCGGGGCGCACCTCCTTCTCTTAGGGGACGCCTGGCTCAATAGCGGATCAAAGTCCAATGTCCTCTTCAGAGTAGCCCCACAAGCCATCACGCTGAAATGTGTCTAAAAAAACTAAAATGTTATGTGGGAAAGTCGTTGACCTGGGCCCCGGTCTGTGCTACCAATGCTATCTCACGTTAGCTAGGTCAAACGGCAGCAGCGATTCCGGGATGCGGAGAAATACGCACTATTCTCGCCTCTAGTTGACTTCTGCTGATAAATGTCATAGAGTTTGAGTTATCAACTATATTTTGAAATAATCTGGATAAAATAAATTAGGATAAAATTTGTATTAACTCAGATGATTGCAGATGTTATAGCACTAGTTCCGATTACTACCTACAACGGTTCAGCCTAGCTTACCTTTTATTCCGTTCTCCTTAATCGGTTCTGAGCATGCGCAGGAAAACTGCCTCATGCTGGTACTTGTAGTTTTATTCCCGATGGCACCCATTGTTTTCACAGCTCGAATACTACATTACCCGAAAACCTTGAAACTGCTTTTTTTCAAATTTGTTTTGTTTGCTAAAGAAAACCCCCAAACCACCGCGAAGTTTCAGTTTCGCTAAAAACGTTAACATACAGAAACTAATTTTAAAATGTATTTATAAGAAGACTCAATTTTACGTACCGTTTGTTTTTTTAGAAACAAATCTATTACACTATTTGAGGATTTAGTTAATATGAGGAAACAATTACCATCTAAACTCAGCCTTTCTAATTCGATTCATATAAGAAATGGATTAAAGTTAATTGGAAACCAGGCCAGTTTGGATTAAAATGCAAATACAAAGAAGAATTAATCCAATGTTTAGGTATTTGATATTATTAATCAGCAGTATTTATGAGTACCGAATCTACTAAATGTGTATCCATGGTCTTGAGTCTTTCTGGTTCAGAAGAGATCATTATAATGGTGCCTGAAAATAAATCATTTGAAATTATAAGAGACAGAATGTAGGTCTGTAAAATTAGTAGTAGTCAACTAATTGTCTATGGATCAAATTCAGATTTAAGAAGGAAGTAAATTAAGTTATACAAAGACAAATAGTTCTGAAGTGGGGTGATTAGGCATATGATGATTAAGTACTGATCAAATAAAATGACTTAATAGACAAGTACTTGGACTTCAAATCTTACTCCGGCTGCAAAACCCTGCCTGGCTTGTATGTTTCTATTAGAAACTGTCCCACCTCTTTCACACACACAAAAGTTTGAGACATGTCTCTTCCATCAATACCACTTCCTCAATCACCCCTGTACACACACATATTTTGAACTGTACAAAAATGTAGGAGGATATGTGGGCCACTGGTATTTCAACACTTGTTCTCCTGCTAAAATAAAGCATTTATGTCCATTATAATAAAGAACTTCACTACTACTGCCATTATACAGCAGAATAAAGCTGTAATTTTACCAAATCTATTGGATAATGAAAATGATCATTTTTATTATATTTATTATATTTAGAGTTTGTCCTCAACTATTCGTATGATATAAAAATATCAGAAGATCACAATTTCCTAGAGCCTAAAGTGATGTCTTCAAATTGCTTAAGTTTAACCAAACAATCCAAAACCCCAAAGATTTTCAGTTTCCCATCACATCAGACAAAGAAAACTAGTATTTTTTGCTTGAATAATGAATTAAACCATTATAAAAGTAGCCGCTGATTAATCAACTAATTGATAAATCGAGTAACAGTATTGGCTCTAGTCCCAAACTGTGTTTATTCATTTATTTAGCTGTTGTATTCAACCCCTTTAATGCAGCCATTCACACATGGTCGAGTAAACTTGCCTCATGAGTTTTCTTAGTTTGGAGTACTTGGTAGGCTTAATGAACAAAATCCTGTTCACAATCTGTGAGAACAGATGTTGCAATTTCCCATACCCCCTGAGCCAAGAGTTGATAAGAGCAGAGCAGGTGTTGCTTTCTGGGGATGCTGTGGCAGCCATTTTCTTGCAATCTGTCACTTTAAGGGTTACAAGAAGGAACCACAGTAATACTAACAAAGCCTAAAATAAATGTAATGCCCTCTTTCCTCAGAGAGGCTGCCACTATTGACAATGTGCTGTTCCACAAGGGGGCACTAAAACATCATTGATGGCTTTGGGTTGCCATCAGCTCTGGGCTTGGGTTCATCTCTCAGCGCCTGTTCCTCTTGATTCAGGGATTGTTGGATGAATTACGCAAAAAAGGCTGTGACCTCCTGTTTCCCACTATCAAAGAATCAATCAAATAACTGCAGGCAAAATGACAACCAGCTGCGACTTTATTCAAAAGTTTGAAAACAGCAATACTAAAAGCACTTGACTGAAATGTGGTTTCTAAGTCATAGATTTCTCATTATGCCACCACTGTACAGAAGCCACTTGACAGTTGACATTTTGATCTTCAATACTCAATAATACAAGAGGCAGCAAAGCATACTGATTAACAGCTGTCTGGATAACTTTACACCAAGATAAACGTCTACAGAACAATTGTGCTGTGAGATTTCTAGATTAAAAGTACTACATCACATGTTCTCAGATTCTTTTGTATGGTCTGTTGTCGATTCTCCACACAATGCATACACACAGACTTCCATTCAAGTTACCAGCTAATGAAAAGACTCCTGTTTCTTTGTTTAGATAAGTAAAATTAACAGCAGACATATTTTTATTTAGAGTTACGCCAAATACTTCACTAGGCCTGTGCATGGGTTGCTTTTATTTTCCAAAATGATGCCCCGCTGCAACAGTAGCACTAAAACAACTCACTGCAATGATCAAAAGACTTGGGGTTGGAAACATATCACCAAGTCACAAGGTATCATACACATACAAGGCTGAATCCAGTAAAATCATACATTTGTTGAAAGCAGCAATAGTCGGAAACCACTTCAGTTTGTTACAGTAGTGACCAGCACACTGTGTCCAAATTCAGTTTTGAAAGTTCAAGCTTTTGCCCGAAGCTTGCTGTTATTGTTGTTGTGTTGTGTTAGCTATACAGCTGAATGGGTCCATTTGAACACTTTACTTAGCAAGAAAACACTGTACAGTTGTTAGGTATACATTTGAACAAAGACACGTTACTCTACAGGTCTAACAGCTAGCGAGTAAAGAAATGGACAACAGGTACAACCGCCACAGAAAATGCCATTTCAGATATGAAATACTCAAAAGCTGTGAATTCATTTACTTCCATCTCATTTGAGTTTAATTGTGATGGTGATAAATATGCAGTTGTTGTTTTTTTTAATCTTGAGCATGAATCACCCCTCATTTCACTAAATCTCTTCACACATTTGCCACTCACCGAGTGTTGTCAGATGAAGTACAAAAGCGACATGTTAAATGGATTATTTGGATTTTTTTATATATAATTTCCTCAGAGAAATGTCTTTATGCGTGTCAGTTGCATCTACATGAACCCTGTAGAAAGTCATGGTGCGGAAATGTGTTATATTAATGGTGCAAGACACATGTTAGTTAAGTTTAAATTACACAGAAAAACATCTCCAATTAACAATGTCAGTAGCCCCTTATCCCATAAATGAAGATATATTGGTTTCAAAACCTGAATTCACAGTACAAAAATATAATATGCCTCCACTAACTGGATATCATGAAGTCTATGGTAAACAGCAGACTTATGATAGTCTTTGATAATCCTTTCAAATCTTGAGTCCTTTCTATGAACTTGCAATACCATTTGGCACTTTGGCACACTATGTGCTCACACAATGACACAAAATAATGCACCCACTAAAAGCGTCTATGTGAGAATGTAAGTCAATACTTTGAGTAGAGGATTTTTTTTCTCTGGAATACCTAACTTCTGCTTTATTGTGTTGAATGGCATTGTTTGAGAGAAGATGACATTTACACAGTTTCCCTTGTGACGGCCAATTAGACAGCCTCTGCAGAAGTTTCAGTGGACACAGACATCGTTACTTTGGCTATTTTCACAGTGGTCTTCACGCAGCTCTCTGCAGCCCTGTTGGCAGAAATGTTGGCATTTCTGTTCTGGCAGTCTGACTCGAGGCTATTGTCCAACTGCTGGGCATTGCCCCTGCAGGCACGGCAGGAGCTCAGGAAGGCGTGCCGCAGGTCCTTGCTCCTCAAAGCGTAAATGATTGGGTTGACAGTGGAGTTGAGCAGACAGAGCATGCTGCAGAATGCAAATACTGTCTTGATGTCATCGTCCATCTTCCAGAAGAGGTCATAAACCATGATGGCGAGCAATGGGCCCCAGCAGATGACCAGCACCACCAGGATAAGCACTAGGGTCTTTGCCAGACGGATGTCCATGCGTGCCTGCTCGGGGCGTGTGGTCTGCACTTTAGTCCCATCTGCTGAGTAAACAACAAGGCTCTTCTGTGAGGTGCGGCTCAGCATTCGTACAGCATGGTGGTGTGCCTTCCAGAGAATATATATGTAGGCGTAGATAATGAAAAGAACCAGCACACTGGTTACACCGATCCAGAACAACAGGTAGTTCTCATCAATCAGAGGGAATATGTCTGAGCAAACAGAATTGAGACGTTTACAGTTCCATCCCAGCAGGGGAAGCGCTGCGATGACGATGGAGATGGTCCACATCACAATAAAAGCAATGACAGCCTTGGTCCGTGTCACGATACGCCTGTAGGCGAGAGGCCGGTGTATGGAGATGTAGCGGTCAATGGCAGTGAGGAAAAGGCTCCCCACAGATGCCGTATATGACGCCGTGACTCCACCCAACTTGAAGAGAAAAACATTTGGGCCGTCCTTCCTATGGAAAACATGGAAGTCCAGAAAGCTGTAGACAAATATGACACTTCCCAGTAGGTCAGCCACAGCCAGACTGCCAATGAAGTGGTAGGACGGCCTGCAGCGGAGGGTGCGGGACTGAAAGATGACGCAGAGCACCACCAGGTTCTCCAGCACCGTGAAGGTACCCAGAGTCAGAGACATCACAGCCACCGCCAGCTGCTGGCTGGGGGTCAGGATCATGAAACACTCCATGTCCATAAAGTTCTCCCCACATTGTATGTTGTTAGTCTCATCTCTGAACGTGCTCCTGTTGCCAAACAAGTCTGTGGCATTAGTAGGGTAGAACGGGATGCCCTTGAGGATGAGCTCCTCGTCTGCAGGTACCTTGTTTGGGAAGGAGTTGCTGCGGAAAGCGGATAAGGGCTTCTGCAGAGAGAAACTGCCCTTGAAGTCTACATCATTGAGGGGGTCGTCGTAGTTGGCATCATTGGAGCCCAGATACTGTAAACCAGATGTAATAGTCCGGAAGGTGGTGTCCGCCACATCCTCCAGCACAGATTTCATGGCTGTGTCTGAGGGTAATACTGCAGTGTAAGACGCCTGGACAACCTACAAATTGATGACAAAAATTTCAGACATGTTTTAAAAACCTAAAAAATAATCCAATCCATATTTTGACCGCAGTATCTGCCTCAGTGCAATGTTTGATTCCACACCTTTGATTTAAAAATGTCTATAAGAGGAGATAACATTCACATTATGCAAATATTTCTTGTTGCAAATATTTTGAAATATTTGGAATCTTTGATAGTTTTGTGCAACTGTATGTGTGTTTATACATTTTAAAGAGTTGCTGGATTAGGGCATAAACCACATCTGATCTTTGAGAGCTGGTGCATGAAAACTATATCATGCAACCAGCACCTATCAACATGCATAAAATGATTTATCTGTGTGTGCTTACTTTTCAAAACAGAAAACCAACTTAAAATACAAGACACATTAGGCTGAAAATAAAAAAAACGCCTCTTTTTTTCTATGAGGTGCAGAAGCAGACAAAGAATGCAATTCCTCTACACCTGTACAGACTGGAACACTATTGCAAAACAGTTACACTCTAATTACCTCCATATAACAGATACAGTACGCTAAAATTTCGGTAGTCTAATTTGCTGTACTAACAGTTAAGAGGTATTTAACAGCGGCATAGGCTATATGCTATTGCACAATTTAGATGTATGCAGAATTTGCAATGTCATTTTAATATTAGGCTCTTTAGAAAGTCTAATAACCGATGCAGAAGTGTAGATTTGTCGTTAATCTGGTTCAAGAAGCACAAATGTATTCAGGAATCTACACAATAAAAAAAAGAACAAAGGGCTGATACTTCCATGCTGGGACACAAAACATTTAAACTACTAGTATAAGCGGGAAAACAATGTTGAAAGCCGTAATTAAACATTTCACAGAAGAAAAGTTCTTTTTTTACCTTACATAATGTTTTTCCAAGTGCGCACAATGTCCCTTTATCACCGCGCGTTAATCCAAGTCAGAAGCGCATCATCCAACCAACACAGATTTTACATACAAGGAGAAGCAAGCAGCGTGCATGTGTTAGAATAAAACTACCATTATCATGATAGTCACAAATTTCTTTGTCAAAATATGTGACATAAGTTTATCTAATGTCTAAAGCCTAGATGTGTCTTGTCGCTCTTGGAGTGCGCTCCTGCTTTGTGAATGCAGGTTGCTGCTGCTGCTGCTCCAGCGTCTCTCCGCTCTTTTTCTCTGTGTTTTCACACTTATGAAGCCTCGCTCCTACAAGCCCAGTCACGTGTTTCCATATAGCTTCATCTGCCCAACCCATGAAGCTGTCAAGTGCTCTGCATAGGAACAAGGGAGAGGACAGTGGTGGAGGAGGTGGAGGGGGCTTATAAGAAAAGGATCTGGTTTGAATTCCTAAAGCTCCTCTTAGTAGACGATGTGCTTGGACAAAGAAACAACACAAAGCACACAGCAAATAAATTAAGAACAGCTTGGAATTGTTACAGAATAACTGTCTTATCTTACTAATTCATGACAAACAACAATTTCCACAGGAACAAAAAGCTGCATTTGCAATGCAACTTTTTAATAGTAGCACACTGAGCAGGCATTCAAAGACAGATAGAGGTTGCAGACTTCATTGATAGTCAGTGCATGTCTGTTTATTGTGTGAATAATTATACAAAATTGAGAATTGAGAATCTTAAAAAAACAGAGAGCAGACATCATTTTGTTGTTGGCTGAGCTGAAGCCAGCCATCCTCATGTCTTCCCCACCCTTTAATAGTTATTTTTACCTTTTACCTATCAAGTTGTTTACTTTCATGATATTTTAAAACTATTTTGAGTATTTAAAAGTGAGTCAGTGTTTGTATTTGGATGAAAATGCAAAAGAATAGGTATATATTAGCAGCCAAATACTTTATTTATACACTTAGAAATAAAACTCAGAGCGGCTGACTGGTGATGTGACAACACAAGATGATTCATACACATTTTATTATGTTTGTTTTTTTGTACACTTCACAGTCCTCCTGATGTCCCTTGGCCTCAGGATTTACCAGCTAGTTAATAGCACATTCAATCAGATCACACACCACCAAATGAACAAGTCAGATCATGAATCACAATAACAAAGATGAGAACTTTGCTTGGCCTTAATAAAAACAGGATCAATTCACTGATTATATATGATTTAATTTCCATTTATTCATTTGTCCCTATCCATGCAAACATTTTTGTGTTGTTTTTTCCTTCCTCTTCTTCTTCACACAATGGCAGACTTGGTGGGACAGGCCAAGGAGGCAGCAGCTGAGTGGTTGCATTGTTGTAGATAAAATCAGAATAGATTCATTAATGGGACATTTTGCGGCAACAGATTGCCTCAGCAGACAGAACATGAAAACCTTGTGTCAGGACCAAAATGAGGCTATGGCTCTGTTACCATTACAGGTGTAATTATTAATATCGCTCAGCCAGTGCTGCCGTCTCTGTCTGAAAATGAACAAAATGTTCTTCTTCACAAAATGTTCTACTTCACAAAATGAGAATACATTTGTGGTCAGTGAGAGAAATTTCCAAAAAAATATAGATGTTGAGGAGCTTACAGGTTAATTTTTCTGTGGATTTATCTCTCTTTTTTGGCAAAACTGACTGCTGGCATGTTGTCAGTCTAAGCAGATGAGTTACTTGTACATCTTCTCCAAGCTGATTCTCATCAATCTTTAGGCAAACTGATAATGAAGACATTATTTACAGTCATGATCTGCTGGACTAGATAGGCTATAGATAAAAGCTGAGCTCTGCACACTGATTCAAACCTTACAGCGCCCCTCATCCTTGTTGATAACTGATTAGCTCGAGCAGAGTAACTGGCAGAACAATGCCTTGTTGGAAAACATCAAAGGGCTGAGAGGAGGGAAACACCGCTTTACTTCCTCTGCTCAGGGTTTCTGGGATTGAGGCTTGAAGTAATGATCTTCCAGTTTTCCTCTTAAACCCTGGAAGCTGCACTTTCACTGTTGGAGAGCACCTGTGTGTGACGTTTCAGTGCATTCCTGGAATAATGTTTTGATCACGTGTTGTAGTTAACGTTTTCATAATTTTTACTTTCAACACTGCATGTCAACTTCCGGGTTTTGTTTAATATATTTCTGTATTTCTGGGAATATCTACAGAAGTTTCATGAAGCTGTTTCATGCAGCAGCGCACAGCGGTGCTTTGAAATGCTAATATCAGCGGGCTGCAATACTACCATATTGATGTTTACTAGGTGTAATGTTTACCATGTTTGACATCAAGTACATCAAGATGGGGTTGTAATCAGTTTTTCATAAATCAAAGAGTTGGACAAACTGAAATGTTGATCTGATGGTCCTAGGCTCAGGGGATGGCTGAAGATTTACAATTCATCGTGTGGGAGACATAAACGTATCTAAGTTTGTGCCATTTCATCAAGTAGATGTTAAGCTATCTGGCTGGATAAGTGAACATTTTGACTGGCTGGGGTCACTGGATGGGGATCACCACAATAATTAGGACATTTTCATGGCACTCCATCCTAGTTGTTGAGATCTTTCAGTCTAGTGCTGGGCTGAATGACCGACCAACTGACTAACATTACCATCCCAAAACAGGATCTAGAAATGGAAGGTAGGCTACATCAAAAGCTCTTATAATAGCTCTACTGTATATTTTTACAGTGGCAGATTTCATGTAAACTTGATTTATATATTGACAACATGCTGAAATGTGCAGTTTTTTCTTTGTAATTTCTACAGAATGCATAATTAAGAATTTACATCCAGTTGATTGACAACTGGCAGCAGCCAAATATGTCTCTGTGAGACCAATGTCTCTGAAGCCTGCATACCCACAATCCTCCCTGTCACCCGTGGGCAAAGTAATTGATTGTCTTTTATGTTTGCTTAGACATGCAGCGCCTATAAATATAACATACATCTACCATAAAGCAGCTGCAAGCATGGTGTAGAATGAAACATCAGTCATACTCTAAACATAAAGAAACTGATATAGCAAATAGTAAATATTCCAGCAAAAATGAAAAACATAATATGAATTTCATAAGATTATTTATATTCTGCTTCCAGCTACTGAGAATTTGTAATATGCACTACATGGAACAGTTAGACTTTAGGCAGCAGGGTGGCTTGCCAAACTGACTGGTGTACTGTGACAGTTTTTCTGACTTGGTTGATAATAAAATTAGCAAGAAAATAATTTCCCACATTGGCATGCTAACCTGTGAGTGAGCAATGAGTGATGGCTCAAGCAAAGCTCATGGCCATCTGCGTTTCAGTTGTGGTACATAACATTTTGTCCTCCAGTGACTCACTTTGAGTCCATGGATCAGAGAAATGTGCTCGGGGGGACTGCAGTTTTGCAGTCAGAGGAAGGAAGTCTTATCTTATCTGTATTCCAGTTGTAATTAGACTAACTGCTAAATGATCAGTGCTAAATGTCAGACTCCCCAGTTTAGGTCTGTTTGGTACACTTTACTACTATTTGAGCATATTAATATGCATAGATATAAAATTACCTCCATAATCAAACAAAAATTAATTTCTGAACATGTCACCAACATCACTGTGTAAGTCACATATGTCAATATTAAGTTTCAGGAGCCCTTGCACCAGCTGTTTGTAAGTTACAACATAGCTGTAGTAGTAACTGCCAGGTGTAACTGTCGCCTATCTAACTTAACCAACTAACTGACAGGCTGTCACCCTGTGTGCAAATGGTGGGGATGTAAGGGATTAGATGATAAAAACTTTTTAAACGGTCTTCAGGTTACGGGTGGGATGGGTATGAGGTATGAGATGTTAAGTTAAATTGCCTCGTTGTTTTGATTCTGTTTTTTAACGTTATAGAAACAAGATGTCAAGAATTTGTTAAAGTTTGGCCTACTAATCGACACATACACATTTTTGGATCATTTTATAATAGGTTTTTTTTTTTAGCTTAAGTTACTTTTTTTGGACAATGCACATTTGTTTCTGCATTTTTTATTTATTTTTTTATTGCATTTCATATTTTGTTATTGTGCAAATAAACCTTAAAGCATTTTCATTTGTTTGTTAACATTTCTTGTTGCGTGCTATTTTTCAGAACATTTTTAACAAATTATGCTTTCAAAAAGTGATGGGAACAAAATTAGCCATTTCAAAATGTGGTGGGGGACATATCCAGTGTCCCCAGTGTAAATGACACCTATGTAGGTATGTAGGCTATAAAGGTAATTGTTACTAAATATTTACACCTAGTAACCGCCAGGTGTAACTGTTGCCTAACTAAACTAGCTAACTGACAGTATTAATGTTACCTTGATATAGTTTTTATAGAGGTCATTGTTACTAAATATTTAGTAACCGCCAGGTGCAACTATTGCCTAACTAAACTAGCTAACTGACATAATTAACGTTAGCTTGATATAGTTTTTATAGAGGTCATTGTTTTACAAAATGTTTACTAGTAACCGCCAGGTGCAACTATTGCCTAACTAAACGAGCTAACTGACAGAGTTAACTTTAGCTTGCTATAGTTTTTATAAAGGTTATTGTTGCTAAATATTTATACAGTAACTGCCAGGTGTAACTGTTGCTTAACTAAATTAGCTAACTGACATAATTAATGTTAGCTTGCTACAGTTTTTATAGAGGTTATTGTTACTAAATATTTATACAGTAACTGCCAGGTGTAACTGTTGCTTAACTAAATTAGCTAACTGACATAATTAATGTTAGCTTGCTACAGTTTTTATAGAGGTTATTGTTACTAAATATTTATACAGTAACTGCCAGGTGTAACTGTTGCTTAACTAAATTAGCTAACTGACAGAATTAATGTTAGCTTGCTACAGTTTTTATAGAGGTTATTGTTACTAAATATTTACAAGTAACTGCCAGATGTAACTACTGTATTTCCTAACTAAACTAGCTAACTGACAGAATTAATGTTAGCTTGCTAAAGTTTTTATAGAAGTTATTAGTAAATATTTACACATAGCTAGATGAACTGTTGCCTGACTAAACTAGCTAACTGACAGAATTAAAGTTAGCTTGTATTTTTATTGAGGTTATTGTCACTAAATATTTTAACAGTAAATGCCAGGTGTAACTGTTGCCTAACTAGTGAACTGTAAGAATTAATCCTAGCTTTCTCCATTTTGATCGAAGAGTTACAAAGGTATGGAATACCGCTGTCAGA